TAGCGATATATTAAAAGTTGTCTATATAGTACACCCCACTTGACCTGCATAAACAGTTTTTTCATATAAAGCAAGATATTATAGCAAATATTGGCTTTTTATATAAGTGCAAAATATAAGCTGTATTGTCACACAGCTCTATATATAAAGTTGGATATATATTATATCCAACTTTTAATCAACATACATACAGTACATTCATGCATTTTTTTTTATTTCATCGCAAAATGTAACTACATTATCACCCAGTTCTTTAAATAAAATTGGATATATAACCATGTCTAAATTTAATAAATGAATTCATGGTTTCATTTTCATCAACACGACCCAGTCTTGTCTTAAGGACAGAGCTAAACTCAATTCAAATGACTTTACTTCCATAAACAGTTGCCCTGCATCTGTCCTTGAAGCTAATTTGGTTGTCGGTGGAGAGCGTGTTTTGGCTGCATGGCAGGGGGTTCCTTGCAGGGGTTCTGAATGAAATTGGGAAGATATCCAGAGCTTTGTTTTCCATAATTTTGGCAGATAAACAAATGTAAATGTAATTGCTGTTTTCCTTCTCGCCTAAAACTTATACACACAAAGGCCAAACTCATACAAACACAGTCTTTCCACATCCTTCAATCATCTGTATTTGTGCTGACTTTACTGCTGAAACTGTATCAACATGCATCCCTCTTTGATCATAATATTAATATCACACATTAATCCAGCAGTTAAAAGGTTCCAGGGAGGATTGAAGATAATTTTAGACAAAGTCAACTGCTGAAGCCTTAAACAATTAATTTGTGTAAAACAAAGAATGGGAAAAACTCTAAATTATGCACAATGAAAAAAGTTCATCAAAAAATGGTAATTGTATAATAGCATTATATAACAGTTTTTGCTTAAAGGGTTAGTTCACCCAAAAATTAAAATACACCCTCAAGGCATCCTAGGTGTATATGACTTTCTTCTTTCAGACGAATCCAGTCGAAGTTATATTAAAAATGGACTTTGATCTTCCAAGCTGTTTAATGGCAGTCAGCGGGTGTTGCAGTGCATCAGTCCAAAAGAAGTTAAATAAAGTGCATCCATCCATAATAAAAAGTGCCTCACACAGCTCCAGGGGCATCAATGCAGCGAATCAATGCGTTTTTGTAAGAAAAATAACCATATTTAAAACGTAATAATCGATTTAATCTAGCTTGCGCTCACTGTTGTACACGAAAGCAGCTCGGGGTGGATGACGTATGAGGTCGGCATCATCAGAAGTGACTAACAGAAGTGACGAACGCGGAAGCACTGGGGAGAGATCAAAACAAAACAACGGTCACGAATTAGAAGTGCAAAACGAGGATTTGTAAAGAAGAATGTTGGAGGATTTCAATTAGGGGTGCTCCGATTGATCGGCTACCGATCATTATCGGCCGATAATCATGTTGGGATGTTTGATTAGCAGTCTCTAAAAAAGCCTGATCTAAAAAAAACGCATGCAGCGGCACAGTCTCTGTCTCTGTCTGGCGCGGGTGAAATAATTATGGCTTTTTGGCTAGGTTTAAAGGGAAAGAGCAATTTTAGATAAACAAGGCAATAATAGATGGCACTCGTGGAGGTAGGAAAACAAAGTTCTTTATGAACCGCGGGATTGCTAGTAATAAAGATTTAAATGCAAAAGAAAACGCAGTAGAGCTGACTATTTCTGTCAATGGTAAGTTTGTGATAAAGTAAGAAAAGTAGTTTAAATGTTTTGCCACTTGCTTGAGCAACTTAATATATAAATCTTAAAAATTAAGTAAATGCAAAAGTAAAAAGCATTGAATAATGTGTTGCTTATATTTGTGTTTAAACATGTCTGTGAAAGATTGCATTACTGTACTGTGTAAAAAAATAATTGCAATGCTGAATAAGCATTTTCAGTGACAATGTTTGGATTTGAAATCAAAATAATGGATAAATGTTGTGTTTGTAGTAAACAGCCATGGATCAGTAGCGGACTCTTGTGTGAAAGCACAGTCCGTGCTGCTTCCCCTCTCACAAGAGTCATCTAAGAGGGGAATTCCCCTCATTTTCAAAAATGAAATTCAGGCCCTGAATAAATGTCTAAAAATCCTGATTGGAGTATCACTATAAATAGGTATAAATTATAAAAAGAATGTTTTAAAAAGATCGGTATCGGTGATCGGTATCGGCAGATACTGCTTTCTGTGATCGGCGATCAGCCTCAAAAATCATGATCGGAGCACCCCTAATTTTCGATATAAGCCAAGAGGAGACTAGTTTTCCTTTGCTAAAGTAAGGAAGCTTTGCTTCCTTTGCTCCTGTAAAAAAAACGTTGTCGACATCTTACGTCATCCTCCCGGAGCTGCTTCCGTTTACAACTGTTGGCGCAAGCTAGATTAAAGTGATTATTAAGTTTTGAATATGGATATTTTTCTTACAAAAACGAATAGATTCCCTACAGAGGCCTTTGTTCACCCCCCGGAGCTGTGTGAGGCATAGATGGCACTCGTGGAGGTAGGAAAACAAAGTTCTTTATGAACCGCGGGATTGCTAGTAATAAAGATTTAAATGCAAAAGAAAACGCAGTAGAGCTGACTATTTCTGTCAATGGTAAGTTTGTGATAAAGTAAGAAAAGTAGTTTAAATGTTTTGCCACTTGCTTGAGCAACTTAATATATAAATCTTAAAAATTAAGTAAATGCAAAAGTAAAAAGCATTGAATAATGTGTTGCTTATATTTGTGTTTAAACATGTCTGTGAAAGATTGCATTACTGTACTGTGTAAAAAAATAATTGCAATGCTGAATAAGCATTTTCAGTGACAATGTTTGGATTTGAAATCAAAATAATGGATAAATGTTGTGTTTGTAGTAAACAGCCATGGATCAGTAGCGGACTCTTGTGTGAAAGCACAGTCCGTGCTGCTTCCCCTCTCACAAGAGTCATCTAAGAGGGGAATTCCCCTCATTTTCAAAAATGAAATTCAGGCCCTGAATAAATGTCTAAAAATCCTGATTGGAGTATCACTATAAATAGGTATAAATTATAAAAAGAATGTTTTAAAAAGATCGGTATCGGTGATCGGTATCGGCAGATACTGCTTTCTGTGATCGGCGATCAGCCTCAAAAATCATGATCGGAGCACCCCTAATTTTCGATATAAGCCAAGAGGAGACTAGTTTTCCTTTGCTAAAGTAAGGAAGCTTTGCTTCCTTTGCTCCTGTAAAAAAAAAGTTGTCGACATCTTACGTCATCCTCCCGGAGCTGCTTCCGTTTACAACTGTTGGCGCAAGCTAGATTAAAGTGATTATTAAGTTTTGAATATGGATATTTTTCTTACAAAAACGAATAGATTCCCTACAGAGGCCTTTGTTCACCCCCCGGAGCTGTGTGAGGCACTTTTTATTACGGGTGCATGTGCTTTATTTAACTTCTTTTGGACTGATGCACTGCAACAACCGCTGACTGCCAGTAAACAGTTTGAAAGATCAAAGTAAATGTTTAATATAACTCCGATTGGATTCCTCTGAAAGAAGGAAATCATATACGCCTAGGATGGCTTGAGGGTGAGTAAATAAGGGGCTAATTTTCATTTTTGGGTGAACTATCCCTTTAATATTTTTGTGGAAAATGGGATACACTTCCATTTAAAAAGATGGGGTAAGATTTTTTTAAAACCAATAGAAATTAATAGTTTTTATATTTCAAATAAATGCTGTTCTTTTGAACTTTCTAATCATCAAAGAATCCTGAACAAAATGTATTGTGGTTCCGACAAAAATAAAAAAGCAGAAAAAACAGATAATAACAACAACCATCATTAAAAACTGAGCACCAATAATAACTGATAATAACTGAATCAGCATATTAAAATGATTTCTGAAGAATCATGTGACACTGAAGACTGGAGTAATGATGCTGAAAATTCAGCTTTCCAAACACAGATAACACATAATAATTAAAATATATTAAATATATTAAAATAGAAAAAAAGTTTGTTGAAACTGTAGTAATATATATATATATATATATATATATATATACGGTGTCTTCATGTTCTTCAGAATCAGAAGCAAAGACTCGTTCTCAGGCCGCCTTTCCTTAACATCAAACCAGGAGCCCCTAGCTCAGTGCTGAATTATAAATTAGGCTGTCAGGCGACCCACTGTTTATGAGCTTGGGGGGTCATTTAAATTTCATTTGAAATGGGATTTCTCTTTAGGGTCCGTCTGCTCAGCAGAACAGCACCAAAATAAAAGAAAAAACACATTATAACCCCTCAACCTACAGGTCTGGATGCTCCAGAACAAGGGAGGGGGAACACACCATATTGTACAGGCAAAAAAATAAGTGAGCTCTGTCACAGTGACCGGGCTGGGGAAGTATGAGTATAGTTCAGTATTCAATCTGAAAAAGTGAAATAGAAATGATAGGAAGTGACTTAGACAAAACTGCACTTTGGAAGACGTTCAATGCTTTAGATTTGGTCCATTATGGTTCACTATTATGGAAGGAGAAATACATAAACTTATGGAAACACGTAAAAAAAAAATGTGATCATGTGTCTTGAATCAGGCCCAAAATTAACTATTTTTACACAAAGCAAGAAGGGAAAACAGAAAGTGTTGTCACACAGTATGGTTTATGATTTAATAATGTAATGTGTAGCAAATAATATTGGGAATATTATATCAAATTTGACATACGTAGTGAAAAAACGTTGAAACAAAATATGTTACAACACTCCCTGGTCTCCCTTATGAATAAAACCGTTCTTGCCTTTGGAGCAGATTAATACAAGACTTGTAACGTTGAGGATGATAGATCTTGCATGTAAAACCTCATTATTGAAATGTCTCGTACTTACAAATTGGAATCAAGCTGGACACGAAATGTCTTCAAACAGCTGAACATTTAATGCAAATTATCCAGACATATGGCTTGTTCATATCAGGTCTTGTTCACATCAAGTCCATTGTAGCCCATGTTTTTTTTGGGGGGGGGGGGGTATCAAAATACAAAAAATTTGGACCTAAAGTGAAATAAAATTGAAAAAGAAATGTCTTTTAGCTTTAAGGCCATCTATAATGTTAGAGTACTCCTAAAATGTATTGTAATTGGAACAGATTCGGGGAAATTATGTCACTTGCTCTCTAATGGGTCCTCTGCAGTGAATGGGTGCCGTCAGAATAAGAGTCCAAAAAGCTGATAAAAACATCACAATAATCCACAATCCACATGACTGCAGTTAAGTGTTTGTAAGAAACAATCCATCATTAAGGTGTAAGACTTGTAAAACAGTTGATCTCTGCACATTTCTCACCTGATTCAGACAAGACAACTTTTTCACTGCAGAAAGCAATATTATAGATAGAGGACTCGTATTTTAGCCAGAAGGAACAGTTTGAAGTTAAAAACATGTTAATGATCAATTTGTTTCTTACAAACACACAGCTTTTCACTTCACAAGATGTTAATTGAGGACTGGACTGGAGTCATACTTTGTGGATTGTGACATTCTAACGGCACCCATTCACTGCTGAGGATCCATTGGTGAGCAACTTATGAAATGATATAGGAATACGAATAGTTAATTATACTTAATGGCACTCTGTACAGATAATCAGCCAAAGAAAATCCCTTGAGCAGAGGTTAAAATAGGACATCATTTCAGTATCATAACAGCTCAAAATCTCCTTTTTATCCCTCCTACATATTCTGCATGCAGCATGTCCTCCTACATGTCAAACAGTGACAAGTGACAAGAGCAAATAAGGTATCACAAACTCTGGGGATGTTATAACTGTCTTTCTGTAATCTGAATAGATAAATCATGACAAAATGCATCAAAATGACAACTGGGAATCAGAATGAGCCACAAACTAAATAGCTTCTTATGATTTGGTGGGAAATTCGTATATTTAAAAGACCATACACATAAGAAACATTCTTTAACTGGATTCCAAAAATCTGGAAATTTTGCTTTTCGAAGGTCTCTAAAGGTTGCAGCTCAGAAGCCCTGCCAGCAAATCCGCCTGGAGATTTCTTGCATGTCAAATGATTGTGATGCATTTCAATAAGCACAGTAGGAAGCTTCCTTTTCATCATCCTGCCGGTGTGCACTGATTCCCCTCATCTGAATGCTGCATTTCTGCTGCGTTGTTCTGTGTTCTTAGTAATCATTTATCTATGTAAAGCATTTGTGCTATACATTTGAATATTTATTCAGGTACACTGAATATAATAAGAGTTTATTGAAGTAGTCAGCATGTCTAGAGGGCTAAGAGTTTGCATAATTTATGAGATTTTGCTGCTAAAATTTGTTTGTCCAAAATAGCATAAACATATATTTATATATATATATATATATATATATATATATATATACACACACACACACACACACACTATGGTGCTCAAGAAACAATTGTCAAATTAATATTTTTGTGGAAACATTATTTACATTTTTTTTGGATTCCTTGATGAATAGAAAGTTAAAAGGAAAGCATTTATTTAAACATTTTTTTTAACAATGTAAAAGTAATATTGTCACTTGTTCAATTTAATGCAGTCTTTCTGAATTAAAGGAATAGTTCACCCAAAAATTTGTAAAAAGCTGTTTTTTTTCGTCCTCTCACATTAAAATTCACCCACATATTTGTTTAGAACGTTTTTGGACTGTTTTTGCTTGTAAATGATGCTTAATCTGTGCATATTTCTCTACTGATTTAGACCAGATGACTTTTTCACTGGAGAAAGCAGGATTATGGATAGAGGCAATGGACTGAATATTTAGAGGCAATATTTACAGATTAAGCAATTGACTTTTAAGCAGCAATGGTTTTTATGAAACATTTTATTTCCCTCAGATTAACAACCGTGTGAATGAGTCTGGGTCAGTCAGGTAGTTGCTAAATGAAGATCTCAATTTTAAGTTGCCTCTTGGAAATGTCAACACAGTGAAGGACAGCCTTGTATCGGGACAATCGAATTTCTCTGACTGTACCGCTCTTCAATGGAGAGAGTAATAATGGAAGAAAAATACCTCCTCTCGAATGGAAAAAAAACACCTGCATTAATATCAAAGACCTGCCACAGAGAGATGTGAAATCACTGCGGCTTTACAGAGAAACGGTGACAAAAACTCAGTGGGGTGGATATTTAATTCCATCTCAGACCTTTGAAGTGAGAACCATCTTTCTGCTAATACGTCAAGTGTGGGAATTATTGTCAAACTTCGTTCAAATTCTAATTTTCTCGTCTCCTCCCCATCAAACCGACTGTTGGCTTTATTTGTTTGTCAGCTAACACATGCTCTCGACATTCCAGCGGAATATAGATTGGCTGCCGGCGTCAGAGCGCAGGTACAGGCATGTGTGGTGCTTGACTGATAGCATCTATAACCACTGGCAACACATAGACTCAATTCACACTAAGAGATGGCACGACAGCAGGCTGCAGGCAAGTTATTTCATGAGGATGAGGAGAGCAAGCCTGTGGCCCAGTAGCCAGCCGTGTCCTCAGAGACTGATGCTCCATCCCCGAGGTCTACTAGAGATATCATGCGGCATCCATCTCATACCCAAGTCCCCTCTAAATCCACCTTGTGCATTTCAAACAAATGTCATTTTGCTCAGAAAAGCACATTTATTTCTGCTTGTTAAAATAATCTAAATATTTATATACTGTATTAGCTCACCTGTTACTCCATGTAATTACCCATACAAAAATTAACCATGGTTTTACAACAAATAAAAACAAAAACCTATGGTTATTGCAGTTAAACCATGGTAACCACAAATTAAACATGGTTTTGCTAACCTCTATCCATAGTTTAACTATGGTATTTGTAGTGAAACTGTGGTATACAAATGGTAATCAATCCGTCAAAAAACTATATGGTTATCTGACAAGTCTCCTGTCCCCATATTAGGAGAAATCGGAAGTGCAGAGGAGTTCTGTGCGCTGTGTGAACATGATGTTACTGTAGTTCTAGGCTAAATGTGAATGTGCATTAATTCATCCCACTCACAAAAAACAGATTTAGTATTCATCAAAATGAATTAAAACAGTGAAATGCAAACTCAGAATATGACGCAAACCTGCAATAATTAAATGTTAAATAACACAAATGTATCTAATCCCATTTTATTAACCAATGTCTTTGCTGCTGACCTTTGCTGATCCAGTTCAACCATACTAATAACCAAAAATGACTTTAGATAAACTAACAATTGTGCTTCATTGTTTTTTTTGTTATTGCTGAAGAGTGTTTCTTCTCCTGCGTTCTAATGTACAGACGTGAATTTACTTTTCCTTCAGCATGAGGTTTATTCATTACACTTTTTGGTGTGAAAGGGCTTTTACATTTGCTATAAATAGAACTTCTTATATTAAAAACAATCAAGCCCTGTTCATATTTAAAAAGTAATGTGAAAGTAACGCAAAAGTAATATAACGCATTACTTTCCATAAAAAGTAACTAAGTAACGTAATTAGTTACTTTTTTAGGGAGTAACGCAGTATTGTAATGCATTACTTTTAAAAGTAACTTTCCCCAACACTGAAAACCAGTTGGCCTTAGCTGATTTTAGCTGGTCTTCCAGCCTGACTGAGCTGGTCAAGCTGGTCTCTCAGCCTGGCCAAGCTGGTTTTAGCTGGTCAGTCACCTAGTCTCCTAGTCTTGCCAGCTAAAGAAGTGGTCAAAAACCCTCTGAAACCAGCCTGCTATATTCTAGGTATTTTTTTATATTAATTTTCTTATTTGCACCATTGAGATCTCATTGTGAATGGGGCTACACAGACAGAACAAATAGATGCAAACCTGCCAATGAAATGTCCTGTTGCTCATTGTTTCTGAAACAGGTTTTGCGTCAGAAAAATGGGGTTGCCAACAAAAGATGGGACAATCACCTTAAGTGTGGGGGGGGGGGGGGGGGGACC